CCAGAAAATCACAGGTTGCCCTCTAAGTTGGGAAAGGTTTTCATTTCTCTTTCTGGTTACTCCAAGCAAGATGACAGAGCCAAACTGCAGTTGCCCATCTACTCCAGCTGATGTTACTTCCAGCAATCTTTTACCAATGGGACAATTCCAAACAGTAGTCAAAGTCAAGGCTGCTTCTAATTGCATTGTTGAGGCAGCTTGATACTGTTTCCATACTATGGCTGCTCCATCTCATATACACCAGATCATGATGTAAACTGGCCCCTGCTACTTTTTTCCCCCCCTCATTGTTGCTATAGTGCTGTATCGGTAGTGGATGATGATCTAACATAGTGAGTCTGATGTATACTAAAGGCTTAAAATACAGAGGAAATTTTAAGTAGATAGAGTGCGGCCATACTTTTATTAACATTCTTCTGATCTTGTGTCTGAGTAAATGCAGCCAGGCTTTATTTAATAATTAATTACATAAAACAGTTTCCCTCTAATGGGATTCTGAGCCTGTAAACAAAATCCCTTTTCTTAAAGTGCAAACAAAATCATTCAGTTAAGTTAACTTCTCTTTAAAAATCATTACTAAATCACATGCTACTGCAGTGGTGGGGAATTGAATCTGGCCAGTGGACCAGATCCCTATCTCCCTGACTGCTTGCAGGCAAAATCTGACAAGTGAGTGGATCAGCTATCTGTTACATCACATGGCATCCGGCGATGATGCACTCTGATGTCCACACAATAACTGGGACTGCCACAAAGGGTATGAAAAGAGCCCTGTGGGGTGCTTTGAAGTACAGTGGTACCTCAAATAGCTCTGTTCTCAAACGTTTCGTCTCCAGAATGCCGAAAACCCAGAGGTGCTCCTGTTTTCAAACGCTCCTTGGAACATGAACTTCCGAAGTGGCTTCCCCTGTGCAGAAACCTAGCTGTCAGCCAATTGGAAGCCATGCCTCGGAACTCAAATGTTTTGGAAGTTGAACGGTCTTCCAAAATGGATTACGTTCGAGTTCTGAGGTACCACTGTAATTATCAGCTGGTCGCTGGTGCTTCAAAGTGCTGAGCAGGGTTCTTTGCAAGGAGAAAGGGGCTTACAAAGAGTACTGCTCGATGCCAACTTCAAGGTTTTCTTCCTACTAAGATTAGCTGTACGCAGCCAATCCCTGCTGTCTTGCCTTCCCTCTCAACTGGCTGGTGGTGATAGAGAGCCTTTTTTGTCATTACACAATTGTGAGCACACTTTAAGGCTCTCACTTGTACACTGGCAGCCACCATCTCCACCTGCTCCTCACCTGACATCACATGTGATATCAGGAATAGGACAGAAGGCCATGGTTTGAGGGAAATGGCTTTAAGGGCCAAACCAGAACCCACATGGGTCCAAATATGGCCCAAAGGCCAGAGGTTCCCCACCTGGGATGCTCCTAAATGTCAGGGTCTGGAAGTTACCAAAGAGCCCTGGAGTTTCCCCTCTTTCCCAAAGAATTTTAACCAGATTCATTCCATTGGCAAAAAAACTCTCTTGCTTTAGCATCATATAGAACAATGAGTCATTAACATCAGAAAAGCATCTTAGTCACTTACCACTGCTCCTTGTTTAACACAGTAGCCAGCTTTAATCACAGCATTATCTGGGGGGTGCTTAGCAGAAAAATAAGGAAGGTGGCTTTGGGACCGTTTCAAGTAGTTTTTATCACCTTCACCACATTCATTTACCTCTTCTTTCTAGAAATAAAACAAGACTACTTAATGGTAAGGTCTAAAATTCATCATCAACCCCTCCACTACTTTCCCCTAACATCATTCCAGATTATAAATTCCCTTTTATTAGACAAATTCAAGTTTTGAATTTGGTGCACCACTAAATACATATTTTCAATTTATCAGGGCCTTTATACACTTGTGTCTCTACTTCACCTCAGGTTTGGCATGTAGCTCATCACACTTTCAGGATAAATAATATATATAAACCAGTAAGCTTCTTCTACAAATTTGGTAATAGCCCCACCTCCCAAATCTGTCAACTATTTCCAACTATCTATAAAAACAAAGGTGGTTTTTTGGGGGGTGTTCCCTATATTTTTCAAGAGCCAGGCCAGTACAAAGTTTACTAAATCAAAGTTCCATATTGATTATGCTGTGCAAGGAACATTCCTGATTCTATCAGCTTTCTCCCTTTACTGGAGGCAACATGTAAGGATCTGCAATTATATGCATAATGAAGCTGTCCGTCTTAGAACTGCTTCTCATGTTATATTCTATCTCAGAATTAGCATTAACAAGTATAATGCCTAGAATCACTTGGTTACCAGGTTTTATTACTGCTAGTGTTGATTCACTACCAGGCCCAAGCATCTTGCAAATCTACCATCCACAAAACCAGACTCAATCCTAGCTTAGAACTAAATACCCAACAACTGCAAATAGTAGCAACTCACTCTGCAACAAGGAGTTTGTAAAAACAGGTTTCCCTCCACCTCAAACAGCATTTTCATATAGGTGTGTTATTATATATAAATACAATGTATACATTATCACCCAAACATATACGTACATACATGCACATACCTACATTTAAACATAGTTTTAAGCAAAATAAAATTGAAAATAATATTTTGATTCTAAGTTAAGTAGTTCCATATACACCCTGAATACATATACATTCATACCTTGGATCTCGAATGCCTTGGCTCCCAAACAAATCAGCTCCCAAACGATCAAAACCCAGAAGTGAGTGTTCCAGTTTTTGAATGTTCTTTCGGAAGCCGAACATCTGACTGGGCTTTGGTGGCTTCCGATTGGCTGCAGGAGCTTCCTATAGCCAATCAGAAGCTGCGCTTTGGTTGTCGAATGTTTCAGAAGTCGAATGGACTTCCAGAACGGATTCCGTTCAACATCCAAGGTACAACTGTACAAAATTCCTGCATATAAAGACTAGCCTTCTCATTTCAATACAAAAAGCATGTCTATACATGCACAGCAATGTACGCATTTATCACAATAGAAGAGGCAACATTTGAGGGCAACAGAAATCCCATGCTCCAAGCAATCACTCAACTGGAGGAATAGATGGCCAATAACCAAATACTTCTGATAATTAGAAAAGTTGTTATAAAAGGGCACACTGCTACCTGGGTAGGGGTTATTATAGGAACACCACCAACAATCTCTGTCCTGTAAGACATCTGCTTCTTTAACCCCACATTTTCAGTATGACGTGTTGAATTATCAGTGTGAGACTGCGAATCAGTTTGCTTTGGTACCTGAAAATAATAAGCATTATAAACAAGGGAGCAAGCAAAAACCATTCTAACTTAGTATAATTATATATAGTTATATATCGCTTCAAACATCCCAGAGGCATTCAAAAACAAGTTACCATAATGCAAAATGTGTAAGCTATTCAATTAAACAATATCAACATAAGATACTAGAAAGTGCTCATCAAAAAAAAAAAAATAATCATCTAAAAACAATAAGAAATATCCATCTGCTCCATACAGGAAAAATAGATAAATATTTGTAGAAATTACATGCTTTGATTTATTGACCTGCATTCTCCAAGTTTGAGACAGTTCAAGAAGGACACTGACAAACTGGAACGTGTCCAGAGGAGGGCAACCAAAATGGTCAAAGGCCTGGAAACGATGCCTTATGAGGAACGGCTAAGGCAGCTGGGCATGTTTAGTCTGGAGAAGAGGAGGTTAAGGGGTGATATGATAGCCATGTTCAAATATAGAAAAGGATGTCACATAGAGGAGGGAGAAAGGTTGTTTTCTGCTGCTCCAGAGAAGCGGACACGGAGCAATGGATCCAAACTACAAGAAAGAAGATTCCACCTAAACATTAGGAAGAACTTCCTGACAGTAAGAGCTGTTCGACAGTGGAATTTGCTGCCAAGGAGTGTGGTGGAGTCTCCTTCTTTGGAGGTCTTTAAGCAGAGGCTTGACAACCATATGTCAGGAGTGCTCTGATGGTGTTTCCTGCTTGGCAGGGGGTTGGACTCGATGGCCCTTGTGGTCTCTTCCAACTCTATGATTCTATGATTCTATGAGACATTCAAAAGTAGGAATTTGATTTCTGTTTCTAGTTCCTTTTGCAGTGTCCCTTCCTTTCTACACCATCTCAATTTTGGCCATAATGTTTTACTAGTCATGACCATTTTTTAAAAAAAATATTTTATTTTTGGAGGCAGGGTAAGCACTAGATCTACCTGAAAATGACATAGAAAACCAAACATATTGTTGCTGTGTTTGTCCAAGTAAAGTGGAAGTCTATGTAGAATGACTCTACCATCCACAAATAATTACTTACTGTGATTTTGGTAGCTTTGTTCAGGACATTCACCCATTCAACTAAGTCTTGCTGATCATTGGCTTGTAGGAAGTATTTCCTCATCCCTGCATTCATGACTGTCAAGAGACAGGAGGAATGGACTTCATTAACTAAAGAAAATACTATGTTGTTCTTTTTCTAGGCATTGTAACAAAGCTCTAAGTCAGACTGGGTACATTACTCCTTATCCCAAAGCTATAAAACCCAAGTTCAATGCTTTAATAGCATATACTCATCTGTCTTAAATAATTCTGTTTTGTTTATATATAGTTCTAGATGCAGGAGGTGGGGAGTGATGCATGTATTCCTGGTTCTCTTATCTCCTAATACACACACCCCTTCTCTAACTTTCCAAATAAGTACTGACCCCAACGCCCTTGCTGAACCAACACACCTGTATGATGGGAGGGGAAAATACAAAAAGAATAATCCTATTCTGGTTTGAAAACACCAGGAGTAATTTGTCCTTTTAAACAGACTTTTATTTATAAAAATGCATAGGACCCAACACTTACAATAGGTGCTTCAAATCTAAAATTAGTGTTTAAATGCTGTTGAGGTAGAAGGAAAAACCAACAGGACTTTTAAAGCAAGAAAATGTGTATGCCATATCCTGATATACACAGAATTTATTTATTTTTTGTTTTTTGGTTTGTTTTCATTAGAGGGGGAGCCTATAGCACCCAGTATTCCCAGGCGGTCTCCCAGCCAAGTACTAACAAGGCCTGACCCTGCTTAGCTTCCGAGATCATACGAGATCTGGCGTGTTCAGGGTAGTATGGCTGTAGACAGAATTTATATGAATGAACAAGCAACATCCATAGAGCTGGTTTCTGCCATTTTTATTGCATACTTAAATCTGCAAGTAATTTCCTAGTGATTGGTAATCATATGGATTCTCTTAGCTAGCGCTATATTGTCACATTTCCTTTGTGTGTGTAACAGAGTACAGAAAAAGCATTAGAGCTCAAATAATCCACACAAAGACTGTTCCTTTATATTAAATATTTGAGAATCTTTTTGCCACATGGCCACCTCCTTTCATCATGTCATGAAGTATAAGCAACACATATAGGAAGCCAGTTGTCAGGAGCACTCTGATATGCAAGGAGATTATGTTTACTATGCTTCTGTAGTAGATCATAATTCTGAACAAACAGAAATATAGTAAAAATGGCCTCACCACATAGTCAGATACTTAGTGCTATTGGGATCCCACAGTTGAACATAGCCTATGGCAACACTACAAGCAGTAGCTCCATAACAAGGCCTGCAGCCTTTGTTATAATTTGTTGCATATGCTAACATGGCCATCTAGGCTTTGCTTAATCACTAGATGCCTGTTAAACTCACTGCAAATAACAAATTAGCAGGCGTTGTTAATACCGATGTGTATTAAAACATGACTCTCGTTTTTTCTGTTTTTGCTGTATAAAGTCCAGTGTATATAATGGTCCACAACATGAGAAAGGGGAAAAAATAAATATTTTACAACATATGAAGCGCTGATTAATTTTGTCAAAACAAATACAGAAATAATGTTTTAATTATCCAATTATTAAATATACCATTGGTAATTGCCATTTGTCGCTGTATGATCAACAATTTTGCTAATTTAGATACTGCCAATATCTAATCTAGAAAAAGGAATAACTTTTCTTCTTTAAATTAGAAGGAAACCTTAAAAATGAATTAACTTGAATTCCAAATAGATATTTCCACTTGTATTTGATAATAAATGGGCAGAACATATCCTGGTTGCAGTTAACAACAACAACAACATTTATGCAGTCTACAACAACTTACCAAAGCAGAATTCTGCCTTTGGCCTCAGTTTAGTTGCATCACTAACCTAAAAAAAAGGACAGTTATATGCATTACCATAATAAAAATTATCTTGTACAACATAAAAATTCCTTACAATACACCTTGATTTGTGTGTTGATTACAAACACACATTACACTAGTACACAGATCCATATAAAACACCAGTGAGCTATGTCATCTCTACAAAGGACTCTAGAAATGGAGTATTTCTGTGGCAAAGGTAACATGCAAAGGGTGGGGCCTGCAAACAATGGAAACACATGTAATATTATCCAAAGTAAACTTATTCTTTACTTTAACAGATCAATCCTACCATGGCAGATTGGGGGGGGGGGGGGGAACAATTTTCTTTACTGATCGGCAAAGAGGCTAGTAGCCTGTGTTGCCATGCTGCCCACCAAGCATAGGACTTCCTTTCTTCTGCTTCCTTAGCAGGCTAGTAAAAAACTTTGCAGGCAAGTTACTTTTGTGGGCTTACTGATGAGACTGAAAAAATGGCATTTATTATCATTTCATTTGTATACCACTCTTCATAAAAATCAAAGAGCAGTTTATACAATAAACATGAAAATATAATAATAAACAAATTAACAAGCCCACATAAGGCACAAATATAAACATGAAAAAAGTATTTTTTTGTATCAGCATTTTTCTTAATGTATTAAAGTTCCTGATTCTGAACTGTTAGACTTCCAAAAAATAGATAGTGGCTTTTCAACTCTTTTTCAACTCGTTTTTCACATACTGGTTTCATCCTTGGTTTTATGAGAAATGTTTGTGCAGTTTGTGTAGTGAAAAAGGCTGAGAAATCCAAAACAGGCTGGAAGCAAGGGAATCGGAGATCTTTAGAGTAAAGGCCTTACCAGTATGTACAAGGAGCTAAGAACTTGGCATTTCTGCACTAAGTATTGCAATGTTTCATGTTTCACAACATTTAAACTTATTTTTCCAATATTTACCCAGAATGTAGTTTCTTTTTAATATTGCACTGAAATGCAGCAAAAATGCTTCCACATATATTAATACAACCTTTGAATAGTAAATCAGTGATTTGAAGTAGATGTAATGAATTCATTTATTCCCTATTGCCTGCTTTTCCCCCCTAAGGATATTTACCAAGTTGTAAAACTATAGAAAATATATCAGAGACTAAAAACAAACATTAAATGCTTGTTTTGTGTACTGAGGTCTTTTCCACAAAGAACCCCACCCCCAAAGTAAATAAGATTATAAATAGTCTGACTGTGGGATGCAATACTCAAAACACAATTATATCAAAGCTGTCCACACACACTGCATTCTCTTCCCATCACACTAGTTTCACTCATACTCCAGCAGACAATTTAAGAAGCTTTCATCTACATTATTTACTTTCAGAGAAAATACTGTGGCTGAATTCAGACATTAACAATAAACTATGACCTAGTCCTACATGAATGAGCCTAAGACTCATAGGCTCATGGACCCCACTCTCCTCTGGAGTGGCTGCAAGGAGAAAAGCAGCAGCAGACTTTTGAACAACTGATTGGCGGTACATCAGTATCTTGAAAACCCATGTAGTTTTTAACTATGTGTCAGGGAACTGACATCGGAGCCTGAGGTGGAGGGAAGGCTCTCAAATGATGCTGGAGAAGGGCCAAGCAGGGAGAGAGGCAGTTCAGCAGAGGGAGAAGCAAATCAACGTTACACCAGGGATAAAGGGGGGCAGATGGGGGAATCGGCGAGAGGGCTCCAGGACTCTTCACTGGACACCAGCGGGGAGAGCACGGGTCCTCCGCTACCCACGCCCTCCCTGCGCAGAAGACTTCCACGCAGGGAGAGTAGGAGGAGACTGGGCGTCAAACAACTTTTATGTTGGAAGAGGTTTAAGAAACGCCCACTGACGGATTCTGCTAGCGACTGAGGCAGCCACGAACTGAAGGGCTGTCCAGACAGAAAGGTTTAACAAGGCAACATAGCCAGGAGAGGCGGCAACTTACGCACGAGCAACCCCATACCCATTATACTATGGTTCACCAAAACAAGCCAACTATAAACAGGGGTTTATTGGCTTGTTCAGAAACCATAAATAAAAATGGGCTTAACATGACACATGCACGTGTACAAACACTACCCAATCAGATAAAATGTTGATTTGTAGTAATAAAAATTATTGTGAGCATAAAGTACTGCAACTAGTTTCAGAATTCTGACTCTGCATTCTTCCTTTCTAATGTTCTCAGAAACAATAGCCAAAAGAAAGACACATATAATTTACTAGCTACATCTTAAAGAAGTTACTCACATCTCAATTCCTTTCAAAGTGTGTTATGAATTTGGAAATTCAATCTTTAGAGGAACACATACATACCTTTGAAATGTAGGTAAGTTTAATGGCTCCAACTGGCGGAGATCCAGAGGGAAGGTTCTGTAGTCAAGAAAATAGCTTTTACTTTATTGTGCAGTGCTATCAATTAAGACAATATATGCCCAAATTTTCAAACCATCACATTAAACAAAACCATTCAAAAGATAGAATATTTCTTTAACATGTTCATATCTATTTGATCGTTATTAGAAAGATCTCCCTCCAACATGGAGGAAGGAGCATTGGCCCCAGGCCAATGAGGTGCTAGGGTGAAACCGCCACCGCTCCTACCACTGTCAGCACCTGGCGCAGGGACGAAAGAGGCAACTGGAGAAGGAAGGTAAGGAGCTGGGCAGCAGGCATGTTCCACCCATGATATACTGCTGGGTGAAGACACCATCATGCTCTGGTCCTCAAACCAAACCTGGAGGATATATTGATACATTGCCCAGGCCTACTAGCAAGTAGACATGCACACCAAATACAGCTTTCAGCAAAGCTCTGAGGCTTTGTTCAAAAGCTTGAAATACACATACAACAAAATATTCTAAGAACTAGTAATTGCAATTCCTTTTTCATTCTTCCCTCTGTGTTATACCTAATTACGCCAGCCAGCTTAATCCTGCTTGTTTTTGGAAACAACTTCCTTAATTGCACTTGTTTCATGAATCTGAACACTCCATTTCCTTCTATATTTTAGCTTATTTTATTTTATTTTATTTTTAATTTAAGCAGGTTTTTCTTCTGGCTGATGATTTTACCCTTTCTAGATTTTGCTAGTTTCTGTAATTTGAAAATAACCCTGGCAACCTGTCTGAAGGGTGGGGTAGAAATCTATATAGCGTATTTATCTGGCCCAGCAGCACCTTCTGTGTAACAGAATGCTGCTACTATTGTGTTTTGTTATTTTAAAATAAACTCCTACACTAAAACAGCTTGCCAGCACCAGTTTAAAGGCTTAGCCTCAGAAAACCAGTCTCTGACTGGCTCTTGATTATTACAACATATTTCAGGTGCTGTGATTCATATACACACTAACACACACCAAAATCGAAGTACTGTTGCCACATAAATCAGGAGTCTCAAATATAGGACCAAATGGTATTTTGCATCTTTTGCAGAAGTGCTCCAATGATTTCCATGAGTTTTCTCATGGGGCTCAATATAGTTAATAATTCTTTGATTCTGATTGAATCCAGTAAAATCCAAATATTCTTACAAAATGAGCACAATGGCTCAGCCCTTAAATTGACACATGTCAAATGTACCTAAGTAACCAGGTAAACTTCCTTTGTTTTCACCCAGACATCATCTGGCACTGAGCCAGCCAATTCTTTATTTTCAAGTAAGTTTGAAGTTGAAAACTAGAAGTTTAAGTGTGAAAATCCTGAAAATACCAACAAAGTTGTCTTTCTTTTCTAGATTACAGTGGTACCTTGGGTTAAGAACTTAATTTGTTCTGGAGGTCCGTTCTTAACCTGAAACTGTTCTTAACCTGAGGTACCATTTTAGCTAATGGGGGCTGCCGCTGCACCGCGACCGCGTGATTTTGTTCTCATCCTGAAGCAAAGTTCTTAACCCAAGGTACTATTTCTGGGTTAGTGGAGTCTGTAACC